TAATTTGGGATTTATAGGGGCCCTACAAAAAAGAAGGTCTTGGGTTCTTAAGCTAGGGTTTAGGGCAGAATCCCAGTTATCCCAGAATCCCAGTGGGTTGCCGTTCCCTCCACCCTGCGATTAGCGGCTGCATGCCCCAGCCCACAAAGCTTATCCTGTCAAGTATGGTAGGGTATGTATGTGTACCTATATATAAGATATATAAACAAATACATAAATGCATGAATATATATATATATATATATAAATATATACTAATATCCCATGTTACCTGCCCAGCCACTAAGTACATAAACCGTACTGTATCGTGATGACCGACCGGATCAACCGGGTCTTCGAAACATTCACCACTATTACTAATTTTCATCCCGACCCGTTTTACTACATTTTCCGACACCTCAGCAAAACCCTAAACCCTAAACCAAAACCCTAAACCCAAAGCCCTAAGCCCTAAACTCTAAACTCTAAACCCTAAGCCCTAAGCCCTAAGCCCTAAACTCTAAACCCTAAACCCTAAGCGTATCAGACCGAGCCGCGCTGGATCTGAAGCGCCTTCTCGTTGGACTCCGCTCCGCCACCATAGTGCCGCGATGCGGCCGACCGGAACTCCTCGGAGGTCCCGCCGGAATATCGGAGTTTAGGGTTTTGGGTTTAGGGTTTGGGGTACATTATACTATAAGATTGGGGTTTTGAGACAGGTTCTACTGTAAGTTTGGTGTAGGAACTCCAAGTAAATTAGCATTCATAAGAAACCTGATTGGGTGTTTGAAAGGTTTAGGGCTTGGGACCCTGGGAGCGTTCAGGATTTGTGGGACCTCGTGGACTTGGGATTGACTGTAGGGCTTGGGGCTTCGGGTTTCATCAAGACATCTGAATAAGGCAGCCCAAGACTTCTCCAGCACATCACCTATATACGTGCTAAGCCCCAAACCGTAATCTGAGTTTCGGAGTTTCGGGCTACCAGAATCATATAGAAGCCTAAACAATTACCAATATTACTGTTAGGGATTCGTTATCGTATTGATACTATAAAGGAGCCCAAGACCCTATTCTAATTAGTAAGGCCCCTATAGTAGGGTTCCTTAAAGGGTTCCGTATATCTGCCAGGGCTCGGGACCTTGATAACTGCGTGCGACTGGTGCGAGCTGCGGCGGCAGGAACGGCCGGATGCCATAGCCTTATCAGCTTCGAAAGCCTAGAAGTGTAGGGTTTAGGGTGTGGGGTTTAGGGTTTGGGGTCTTCAGGGGTTTAGAGCTTATAGGGTTCAGGCTTTCATGGGTTTCAGTATTGTATTCAGGGGCTGGGGTTTGGCGATAGCCAAATCAGACTGTGATGATATGAACTATTGATACAGGGACTGACAAGACAAAATTGACATGGATAGAGGCTGATAGAAGGATCTCGCCGGCACGGTTTTCAGATGTCCACATGTACAAAAGATTCCATGAATCAAGAACCGCGCAAAACACAGTGATTGTATGTCTTAGCATAGTTCTAGCACAAGATACCGAAGCTTAACCCACAACCCCATTTTTAATATTACTACTCGGACCATTATATGGGTAGTTTTCTCTAGATTAGGGTGACTTTTAGGGTCTGTTTCACAAGGGTGCGTACTACATGTTGGGGACCTATAAACAGGGACCCTAATTTAGACAACTACCCACAAGCTTCTCCCAAGATTCGCCCAAGCCCCTGAGACCCAGGCCGAGCCGCCATCTGCATGGCATAAGCCAAAGCGCCGATGCACAGCGGCGAGAGGCCATGGCTCTCTAAGGGAGCGAACTGAGAGGATGAGGGTTCAGGGTTTAGGGCTTAATGTAGAAGCCTCAGTAATTACTTCGACTATTTTGGGGGCTCCTTGTTAGAATTATAATCTAATATATTCTAGAACCCTATTCCAATTATTAAGGCCCCTATAGTATAGAGCATTTCGGAATCACTGCTAAGCATTTTCTGCCTTAGGAGTTGAGTAGTGTTTAGGGTTTAGGGTTGAGGGATTTTCTGCTGGCTCCATGAAGATATGCTGCACGGTAACGTGTAGTCTCTCTTGTTTGGACAATTCCTTGGCAAACGCTTGAAATCAGTACGGGCAGGGTTGAAAGGCACAAGGGGAGGCTGAAGAGAAATCCGCCGCTTGAAAGCCAAGGACTCTGTGGGGAGGATCCGAGGGGGGATCGGGAAGTATTCCCTCTAGACTAGAGGTACGATGTCTTCAAAATCTTTGCCGAGTAAGTAGGTCAAGCAACCCTCTTTCAAAACGCGAGGCATCTCGAAACAACCTGCCCACTTGAAACTCGGCTGCCATGATAATCTGGTTCCACCAATGCCCTCTTGCCTCGCAGCTGCGCGCGCTTCTCCTCGCGCCGGTGCTCGTCGCGCCTGGCGGACATCCGGGACTCAGTTTATGTTTCGGGCTGATGTTCGCTGAGAGTGGGGTTATGCTATTAGTAGGCATCTTCAAGGAACCGTATCAAAGCAACCGTCATCTACAGTCATCTACAGGGCGAGATAAGTGTTGGTGTGCCTATCATCCTAAAACCTCACACCCCTCGAAATCCCACTTCCTATTAAACACCCCCCAAAAAAGAGTAGAACCTGCCCAAAACCCTCATGCTATGCTTCTAAGGACCTTATGGTGAGGGCCTCAGACCCCTTGAGAACCCAACAACAAGGCCTGGCAGAAACCGTAATAGTAATACTTGTCATAAGATTCATAATAGTAATAATAATAATAATCCTGATAATAAAAAATAATAGTGTTATTCATAGTATTATTTAATACTTTCAATAGTAAGCTGTCACTCCGATTGACCTCCTGATCGGGAAGGTCGCCGAAGGAGCCTCAGGTCAGCACCGTTCTGTGAGGAGCCTTTTCTGGGGCTGCTCTTTTCCGGGGAGCGGTTTAGGGTTTAGGGTTTAGGGTTTAGGGTTTAGGGTTTGGGGTTTAGGGGGGACGGGGCATGGGGTCTAGGGCTCAATTCAAGTCGGGTTTAGAACGTTGCTCCAGCAGGTGGCAGGAACTGTCACCACGCTGTCCAACTGCGAACTTAAGAGATCTGGTCATCTTGAACATATGAACGGGTTTTTTACGGAAGTACTTTCCAGGGATTTGTGTGCTCGCCCTCTTTTGCACCACTATCGTCATCCTCAGCATGGACATCATCGTCGCCATCACGAACAACGTCATAATCAGCGCTACTATCATCGTGCGTCGTCATCATCATCACCATCATGACTAGCATCAGCAGCAGAACCACCATCGTCAACATCGTCACCATCATCATCATCATCACTACCTTTGTCATTGCCGCCGTGGCAGTCAGCATAAGCAACAGTCATTGTCATCATCGTTGTACATGGCGGAAGCAGTTTTCGACTGATCTTCCAGTTCCTAACGGACCCGACAACACCGCAGAAGCCGACAGATATAGAAATAGCAGCCAACTCAGAAGCAACAGCAGTGTCGCAACCCCAGTCGTTAAAGAGCTCCGGATCCTTAGCCCAAAGCTCTAGCGCTCATCCCCTACCTACCTGACCTACCTTTAAATTACCTACCTGTCTACATGCATATACGCTAGACATGCAACCCATACGTATATGTATAGAGATACAGTGTGTGTACACATGCTTGTCTACGTGTTTGTATTATAGGACATCCTCATGACCTGAATGTCTCTCTCTGTACATATATATATATATACACACATATATAAGCGTGTACATATATGTATACACATATACATCTGCATATACATACATACAGTTCCGTACACATATAGGTTCGACGATGTGTGTATGTGTTTGTATATATATATATAAGTGTGTAGAGAAAGGGAATATACCTAGACCCTCGGCCGGCTGAATAAAACGCC